TCAAGGAGGGGGTTACAAACAAGGTGGGGGTTACAACCAAGGTGGGGGCTATAATCAAGGAGGGGGTTACAACAGACAGTGGGGGGGTGGTTATAGAGACCGAGAACGAGACCGTGATGATAAGCTGGAGAGGATGTATAGTTTGTTATCAGAACAAGTGGAAGAGCGGGAACAGCGTAAGAGGGAATTGGCCAAGCTTGAGTTGTTGGAGCAAGAAAAGAAGAAGTTGCAGGCTGAGGAAGAAAAAAGGCAGCAGGAGAATAGAGAACGCGAACTGCAGGAGGCTAGGCTGGGAAAAATTGTACGTACCAGCGTAAAGGCTGTTTGTGAATCGGCCCTTGGATGCAAAGTGGACATATCGGAGGACGATGATTGTGAAGTTGCAAAACTTCGAAGGGAGCTTGAGGAGCTACGGGTCAAATCTTCTGAAGCTTCGAGTAACTCAAGGGATAATGACGGGCGTCTGGAGGCACTGCGAAAGGAGAAGGAAGCCCTACTGAAAGCCAAGCATCAAGAATCAGAGGAGGAACGATTACGAAAGGAGATCGCAGATCTGAGAAGCCGCAGTGAGAATGGGGCATGTACAGACGGGAAGAATGACAAAATTTTGGCACTACAGTTGCAGATCAAGGAGCTTAGTACATTTCGCGTCACCTTGGAGGAGAAGAGCACCGAGGTTTCTGCCCTCAAGTCCGAGAACAAGCATCTGAGGAAGGACGTCTCAGAACTTCGTGACGAATTTCTCGTCTTACGAGGAAAGAGGTGTTTGGGCGCGATCACGGAAAGCAGTCCTCCGGACGAACCTATTGCAGTGAAGCCTCGTCCTGATCCATCCACCACAGCGATGTATACGCTGAAGGATTTGGCTGTTTTGCAGAAGGCGTACAAGGATGCTCTGATGGCTAAGGAAATGGCGCTTAAGGAGGCGCATATGCTCAAAGATCGGATGGCGAGATTGGCGGCGTCAAAGATTCGCCTATCCACAAGGCGACAGTCTTCCAGAAGAACCACGCCACGCAACCTTCGGACGAGTTTTCAGGATGCTGAGGAAATCGTCGACCTCGATGCTGCCAAGGAAAATCAGGAAGGAGAGCGTCAAAGTGATAAGAACACCGTGGATGCTGCCCGCGATGTTGAAGTGGCCAAGATGGCTGCATTCAGGGATCTCAGATTCAAGGAGCTCAGGCAATTGAAAAAGCAGGATATGGAGGAGGCGTGTGCTAAGGAGGGAATCAACTACATCAAGCTGGATCAGGCCAAAGCAGATGTGGCTGAGATCAGGGCTAGTTGTGATTTTGATTTGTGGCTTAAGGAGCAAGACGTTGCAGATGAGGAGGATCGTGATCTGCACTACGCTACCTCTACGGAGGATGTGGGCGATGCTTGAGGGGACTCCCTGGGCGCGTCTCAACTTCAGGATCTAGCTCTCTTCTGATGAAATTTCTACGAGGATCTGGCGAGTGTTCACTTTCATTTTGTTTATCGATTGATTGTTATTTTGTTAATCCTTAATCGTAGCTTAGGTTGGTGTGATAAATTCCGAGATCTTATTCTTTCTTTGATTAGCAATAACTATGATTTGTTTACTTGTCTAGGTCCGGTTGTGTATGCATTGGTTTCTCCCTGGCATCGGCATGTCTATATTGGTTGTTCAAAGAGATCGTTAGTAGTTAGATGGAAGGAGCACATTGCCTTTGCTCAACCTTTGGGGTCTTTACGTACAAATAGGAAGTTGTATAGATGGTTACGACGGGTTGGGATTAATTGCTATGTTGTTGTTCCTATTTTTGTCGGATCTGAATGGGATATCTTGGGTCTTGAGAGATTTTTTATTCGCTCCTTTTCTCCTGCCTTGAACTCTATTGTTGGACACCGGCGACAGTCAAAAGGATCTTGTAAACCTTCTCGTTTGGGCAGGAAAGAGCGGCTCAAGCGGGCAAGGAAACAGAGAAATAATGCGCTATTGGATATTGAGCCCCGTCGCTTTGATCCCTTCTATTTAATTTCTTCTTTCGACCATGAATCTTCTAGTCTTATTTCTGTTCTGAAACGTGCCGCTGATCTTAATGTAGATACTCCTTTCTATGTCAATGTCTCTTCCGGTTCCTTGTTCTCTGATAATTGGAAATTAATCCGACGCCTTTTCGGTTCTTCTACTATCTCTACTACAAACCTCCCTATATCACTCAAGCAATGTCGTGCATGGTTCTATGCATGTTCGACTATCCACTTCCATTCCATCACACGTTTCTGTTCACGTGGGCTGCCTCTCAAGAACACACTTGTGCGCTTACTAAGTTCACCATCTTCAAGGAGGGACTTGGTCACTTGTGCGCTTACTAAGTTCACCATCTTCAAGGAGGGACTTGGTCAATCTTGATTTAACTTCTCTAGTCCGGCTATATGACGCAGTTCGCACCATCTCCTGCAAGAAATCTTGCTCTAATCTTAAGTTTATCCTTTCCTCCGTCTGCCGAAGGAGGTTCTCCTTGTGCCTGTCTGCTCGATTGATTGTTAGGGTCAGGTTTGATGAATTTCTCGCTAAAGATAAAATTAGGTTAGTATGTAAAAATATTATTTMTAGTCTRSATCTTCCAGCGCCGTATCTTGATAATGTTTGCCGCCGTTTTAGGCTGGTCTTCACTAAGAATCGCTCCATTGCTGATCTATTTCATAATTTTCGATCCTTTTCTGAGAGGTCTGAGATCACTTGTTCCTGTGTGCATTCTTCTTCTATCTATCCTAGACATGATAAGCATGTTCAATTCCGTTTCAGTGAGGTGGAATTTCTTCCCCGTTTTCTAGAGAATTCTAAGGATGTTGTCGCTCCTCGTTACTCTTCCAATCCAAGTTTGCTACAAGGGCAGATTGTTTCTTCTTTATCATCTTTCTTCGGTCGAAAAATTGACGCCCCTCCTTGTCTGTTCGCTGGTTGCCTTTCAGAAAGAGATGATAGGAATAGGCAAGTTAATGAAGTACTTGTCGAGCAATTTAGGCATTGTTTTGATGGTCTTGTTCTTTGTCCGCTGGATCACAACATGGGGGACACTTTCGAATAGGCAAGTTAATGAAGTACTTGTCGAGCAATTTAGGCATTGTTTTGATGGTCTTGTTCTTTGTCCGCTGGATCACAACATGGGGGACACTTTCGCGTGTTGCCCCGTCATATATGCGAACGGAATGCGTAAGTTGTTTACTGAGAACCCAGGGCTTCAGATTGTTGATATGACCGAGGAAGCAGTATTGGGGTTATGTAAGAAAGGCTACCGAAAAGGGAAGTTCTCTAGATTGGCTCCTTGGGCTGCTAAAGGGAAGTTAGGTAGATCGTATGTGATTCCTAAGCATAAAGATACTAATAAGTGGAGGCCTATTTGCCCCTCGTGGTCGGAGCCGTCCCGGCAGGCTTCTAGGATTGTTTCATCATGTATTAACGAGTTTCTTAAACGGCTACCACAGTTTTCTCATTTTAATTTGCGAAGTACATCTATGTTACCCAGTTTTYTTCAGTCGGTCAACAGAAGCATTAAAGAAGGGGAAGGGTTGTTGGTCGGCAGTTTCGATGTTAAGGAGMTGTTCTGCCAACTCCCTCACCCTGCCATTTTGGCAGCATTGGATYGGGCAGTGAGTGTCTTCGAAGAAAAAGRGTTTTATAAGTGCCTGATTAMTGGCAGAAWGAAGTTGGTTAGGTTAAGTAAAACTGCGGTTAGTGAGGTAGGATATAAATCTGTAAGTTTTTCTATGCTTATTAGATATGTGGGGWTTGATTTGGAGAATACGTATACTATGGCTATGGGTACGGTGGTTAGGCAGAAACTGGGAATTCCAATGGGTAAGYYGTCAAGCCCGGCTCTTGCTTGTCTGATGTGCGTTCACAGTGAGTATAHTTTTTYGTCRGGATTGGGTAACGATGCTTGTTTGGTTAAGGGTTGYCGATTGATTGATGATGTGTCTGTGTTCATTAKGTATAASGCGAACGAAACTGGGTCAAAGATGAAAGCTCAGGATATAATGTCAAGGTTTAAGGATACTTGTTACGATAAGCACTTGGTTCTAGAGACTACTAGTGAAGAGTTAGAGTGGCCGTACTTGGGATGTCGAGTGCAGGTGGGTGTTAAACCAGTTAAGGTGTACTGTCAGTCCCTACATAAGAATCAGGATAGTATTTTGAGAGGARGGGGCATCATTTTTCATAATTTGCAGAGCTATCTTTCGTTCTGTAGCAAAAAGCAGAAAATTGTCGTGATTTCATCATTTTTTCACAAAGCATATGATATGGGCACTCTGCCTACGGCTGAAGCTGCTTTCCTGTTTTCGCTCAAGGTTGAGCTTCGTCGGCGAGGGTTCCCCGATGAGTTATTCGATAAGGCCCTTTCTAATTTTAATATCAAGATAGGCGGGGCCTGGACCGAGTGGGTCCGGTGTTTTACTTGTTGGGCCTCGTAAGTGGTGGGACTCGGATTTTTCTTGAAGGGCCCCATGGGTCTGGGCCTTCCC